TGGCTGAAGGAGTGAGGTGGAACGAGGCAAATATCTAGCATGAAAGCCACAGGACCAGCCCTCTTAGCTTTGTGGATGCCCAGAGCCAAACTCTCGGACCAGCAGCATCTGCACAGGCCCCCAAGCCAACAGTCCTCTTAGGTGCCTGCTCCAACATGCCAGACTGAAAAACTGGTCCCAGCTCCTTCCAGACAAAAGCAGCAAGTGCCCTTTGCTTTCCAAAGCAAAACATATGACCCTGAACACCACCAAAATAAACACGCCATCTGGGCCACTCTGGAAATGTTCTGTTGAACCTATGACCTACCATGCAATCCAACATATAAAGAACAGGATTCTTTACAAACCAAGTAGCATTTTTGAAACAAAGGCAAAGCACTGTTCGCCACCTCTGCAGCCCTGCTATGGCCAGATGCCCCACTTATGCTTCTAATATAGCTAATCTCCATTCTCCTAAGAGAAAAGCAAGTTTTATATTTGTGTATGCTGCTGACCTAAAACTTCATTAACAGACTTTGTGGAAGTCACTGTAGCCAAAACAAATACAAATTAAAAATGCACTGAGACTATTAATGCTGTCTCCAATGAAAAACAGGAGTCACCAGGAGAAAAAAATTTTATTCAGAAACTCATAATTGGGTACCTACTGGCAGTACCTGCCATGCTAGAGGCTGTGGAAGACAGGTACAAAGACAAACTGGACAGAGTTTCTGTCCCGTCTCTTCCCTTCCCCCAAGGAGGTACGAAGTCTACAAGTGCCTTAAGCCAGCGACTCACCATAAGTAAACCAGCACTAAAACACTAATCCTTGGTAGGATAAGAGATCAAAAAGTCTTGACTGGTTAGTGCCAAGTTCAAATGTCCCCATAAGGAATAGTCTAATTCATCAATCTATACCATTTATCCCAACACACACAATGGCTTCAAGAACAACATTTAGCTGATAGGGAGAAAAATACCCGAAAGAGCAACAGAGGAAGAGGAGACATTTTACTTTGCCAAGCACATTAAGATGTGGTTCAGAATGGTCTGAATACTTACTGTTCTTCTTATACATCAAAATTTCAAAGGAATTCATCTCATAGTTCTCAAATGTTTGCCGCACCTTTTCAATTGTATCTTTATCAGTCAGCTCCCCATACATAAAACTGCAAATCAACCAAAGAGCTCAAGTTAGATTAACAAATATTTATTATTCAACCAGCATATGTTAAATACCTGTTCTATGGCTAGCACTCTGCTATGTAGAACNTCATATTATTCAATTCTGGTGCTGTACAATGAGTCAGATGCTCACAATTTTAACGTGAACTTGGAAATGGGTTCAATTCCCAGAACACAATTTGGCAAAACGTTTCAGAAACCTTAGTTCACATACTTTGACACAGTAATTCTCAACTTCTAGGAAACAAAGATATTTTTTATCTTTTATATTTTGCTCAAAGATATTCACCTTAACATTATGCTTAATAAAGAAAAGTTAGAGCCTTAGAAATATCCAATAATAGAGGGAGTGTTAATAAAATTCTTTCTGAATTATGATTATGGGGAATTTTAATGACAGGGATATTTTTATGATAAAAGATTACATAATTGTATGATTTCAAATTGCATATATGTCAAAATCTCAGTTATGTAACATGTGCACAGACAAAAACTAAAAGGAAATACACCAAAAAGTTAGGAGTATAGTAGTATTCCCCTGAGTCTTTGAGTCTTTAAAGGATTGTTTTTCTTCTTTATACCTTCGTGTATTCTCCATAGTAAAAATGCATTAATTTTAAAATGAGAGAGAAAAATAAATATTCTTTTAGATGATGACATTTCACATTTTAAAATCTCAATGGGGGAAGTTTCCCCCCATGGGACTCTATAGTGCTTTAAAACGCTGAAAGTTTCAATCTGATGAACCCAAAGTTTGAAAGTAGAAGCAAACTCTGCCTCCTCCTTCCTGTCCTCTCATCCATTTATGTTCAGTCTGCTCCTATGGGACCAACACAGTTCAGTTCCGCTCCACACTGCTCACTCCTCAGCTCCCATGCCCTCACTCTGAATCACATACTTTTCTTTCACTGATCTGAGCTTCTTGGTAACTATCGAGTTCCTTTCAAAGTCACTCAACAGACATTTGCTGAGCACCTCCTCTAGGCCGGGCTTTGAGCTAGATTCTTGGTTAAGTTCTACTTCAGGCCAAACGAGGAGTTCCTGACAGAAAACACTGTGCTTCCCACTTGTGAGAACTGCCGAGAGCTGAGCAAACTGAGGGAAGACCCGGTCACTGGTCACCACTCACAGAGTCCCTACGGTCAGCCTTCTCCCATGCCCCGCTCCACCCCAGCATCTCACCATCTCAGCTGCCTCTTCCCCTCCGCAGGCCACACTCATCTTGTCACCAGAGTGATTCCTAGCGGGCCCCAACCTCCAGTCTCCGGTGCTCCATTCTATCTCCACACGCTACTGCTACTCTTTCTAAAATGAAAACCTGCTTATATGCTTCACCCTGCTTAAAACCCCTCTGTGTGCCTCACCCCTACCCTCTTTCCCCACAACTGCTGCCCTTAAGACAAATTTCTGAACTCTTT